GTTAAGATTGTTATTAAAATCTCCTATTGTAATTGTATATTAGTTATTGCTTTTTGCTTGGGTTAATCAATTTATAATTATGTTTTGAGTAGATTTGAGTTGTTCTGGATAGTTTGAAGGTAGGTATAATAAAATTATACAAAGTTTATTGTTGGTAGAAAGATGTAAATCAATACATATTGCAGTGCCTGGAATAGTTTGTATGTTGAATATAAAAGGTTAAAGTAAGTTATAAAGCATAATCATAGTGCCTATACTGGCTTCATGTTGAGAGCTGTCCTTAGGAATGAAGTTTGATGTATAAATTTTGTAGAGTGGATTAGAAAGTTCTGCAAAAGAAGAATTTTTTAGTTTTGTTTCTATAATAGAGACAATGTGGTAATTATTTTTAACATAGAATTTAAGTCATATTTGTAGCTTTAGTGAATCATTAAGTTCTTGAATATTATGAGTAGCGAAGTTAAGATGATCCTTAATGTTTATAGAGAAATTGTTTGTAAAAGTATCTGGTAATTTAGTTGAGTTGTTGTTATCTATTTGGAAGGATAGTAAATCTGGTTTTAATTGTATAATGTTTATGGTTGAGAAGAGTAGTTATCAAAAATATCCCAGTGAGGATTAGGTAGGTTGGGAAGTTCAAAAGGTTGTGAAGATAAACCTTGAAAAGAAAAGTGATTATGAAGTTGTGAGATAATGTCAGCTATCTGTTCATGTATTGTTATTGGTAGTTGAATAGTTTGAGATTGGTCTAATTCTCTCAAGACTGTTTGGATTTTATCAAGACTTAAAGGAAGGTTTGGTTTGGTATTTTTTTTTCTTGTAGCATTATTGATTAAGATCTATTCTGTAGATAGTTGGTAAAAGAAGTAATGTGTGTAAAGTTGTCTAGCAGTTTCTACTAGGATTTTAGGGCTTGTAATAGAAAGTGTTAGGTTAAGCTTAGTAATTAAAATAGGATCTGTAGGTAGTTGAGATTTGTTTGTAAGGTTAATTGTCATATACTCTAGTAGTAGTGAAATGTTGAATTTGTATATATCTTGTATTTCTGCTAGAAATTCTTTTGCTAGGTGATAATCAGTTATAGGAAAATTATAAGTAATAAAGGTCTTAATTTGATTTGGTTTCTTTGGAAGTAGTTTTTTTTGAATGAAGTAGTCGTTTGGAATTTTGTGAAAGCTATAATGCTCTCAGAGGATGTTTATATAATATTTGAAATCAGTTGAAACTTTAGAATTGCAAGAGAAGAGGTATCTTACAGCTAAATTAAGATTTTGAGATGTTGATAGTAAGGGTTTCTGAGTGGGTAGTAGGTTAAAATAATTAGATGGTATATAATCAAAATCATAATATTTGTGTAGTTTTTGTCTGTATTCTGCTAAATAAGGTAATTCAGATCAGCTTGTTATTAGAAATATTGCACATGTTTCTGCATTTAGATCAGTTGGATTTTCAGTAAGAGGAATAATAGAATTAGCAAAGTAGCTATCATTGAGTTAATCAAAAGTGTAGATTTTGTAAAGTACTAGCACTGTTGCTTAAGTAAATTTTTGATCTTTGATTGAAAGTGGGAAAGGAAGTATTTCTTTTATGCTTTGGTCGATTAGGTCTGGAAAAGTTGGTAGTGGAATAAGAAGTTGGAAATGTGCTTCATTAAGAAGTTTGCATGTTTCTTTAAAGGTAAGTGCATAAGGAATTTGTGCAAGGTTAAGACAGTATAATATATGTCTTGTACATTTATAGAAACTTGTAAGAAAATCTAAATTTCTAATATAATCTAAAGCAAGTTTGATTTTGAGTTTTTTGTGAATTTGGTCTCTGTTAACTTTGTTGATCAAAATAGCATTGTGTAGTTTTTTATATTTTTTGAGAGTGATTTGATATAGTAAGTTGAATTCTTTTTGATATTGGGAGGTTGTAGCTTTTGTTCTTGTAAAGGAATAAAAGAATACTATATTTAGGTAATTAAATTTTTGGTTAATAGCATATGGAATGTTGTGAATTGGAGGAATAGTTTGAATTTTGTAAGTAAAAAATTCCAAAAGTTGTTGTTTGTTATTAAGGGCTTCAATCATTTTATCATTGTTCCAAGTTTGAAAATCAAAGTTGAGTACTCGTCTTGCTGCAAAAGCTTTAGTTACAGAATTACACTAATCAAAAGTTGTGTTGTTTTTTGGTTTTGGTAGGTTGGATGTTAATGCTTTGCTATATGATTGCTTGGTAACTTGTTGATAATCTTTAGAAGTATTAGAGATGGTGTCTATGTTGTCAATATGCATAGTTAACATTGATCTTGATTAAGTTGATAGATTTTCTGTAAATGTAATTAGTTCAAGATTCCATGGGTTGTTTTCTGAAATGAAACTATTAGGTACAGATGCCAAGTATGATGGATCAGGTAATGTGATAATAAAGTTTTGGGGTATGGGAATATTTGCTGATTTGGACATGTTTGTTTTGGTGGCTGTAGTATATAATGTCATTTGAGATTTTGTAAAAGGTAAGCTAGGTTGCCCACTTTTTGTTAAATTTTTTCAATGAGAATAGGGTGTAAAGGAAACAGAAGATTTAGAGTTGTTAGTTTTATTTTTTTTTAAAGAAGAGAAGTTTGTTTCTAGTTCTGCATTTTCTTTAGATCTTTTATTTGAGAGAGCTTGAGATGTAACTGGTGTAGTTTGGGTGTTTAGTTGAACTAGGGCCCTATAAGGATCCATCTGTAAAAGTAGCAACACCAAGTCAGTGTTAAGAAAAGTTTTGAAGTTTTGTAGTTTAGTGGTTGAGGTTCTTTGTCTTTTGGCTATGCTGAATTAGTCTTAGGTGTTCTGAGAGTTTATTTTCTCTTTTTTTAAGTATCTTTTGTTCTATTTTAATTAATATATTTAATATTTTAGTATTAATTTTGTTTACTTTTTTGTTTTTTTAATGATCTATAAAAAGAGTTTTTTTAAACTATTAATGATTTAAGCTAAAAGTAACTATTTTTTTAATATATAATTTAAATTAAAAAAAACTTTAAACAAAATGTCTAATCAAAAAAAGAGAATAAGTTAATTATAAAAAATAAAATTAACATTTATATTGAATCTTAAAATATTAAAATCTATGTTTGTGATTGGCTTATTATCATAGGATATTATTTTAATATTGACCAAAAGGTTGCTTACATAATGCTCTAAAAATTCTTTAGAATCTACTTATTTTAGAATTAGAATTAGATTTAAAATTAGAAAATGGCTAGTATATGATAAAATTGTTCAAAAAATTTTTAAAGCATAAAAGATAATCTATTAAGCAAAATTTCGAATTTAAAAAAGATTTTTAAAAATAAATATTTGTTTTGAATCTTTCTGATTATATTACTTTACTTCAAGATAAGTTGATATTAATTAAAGAAAATGTTATATACATTGCTAATTATTAATAGTCAAATGACTTGTTATATCAAATTTTTATATGTAAATTGATAAAAAAAATTTATTTAAATTTTATACAAAATAATAATCTATTTTAAAACTTTAGATATACATTTTTTAGTATTATATTTTCTTTTATCTAAAATTTTTATTATAATTAACAATCAAATTTAGAAGGATTGTTATTGTTATTATGAGATATTTTTAATAGTGCTTCTTATTTGACATGTCAATTAATTGATTCAATACACATTTTGGATTAGTTTAGATAATCACATGAATTACTTGTTACTAAGATATTGGCCAAAACTATTGTAATATTCAATAAATATACTATATAGAATCTAATTATATTGATATTGACTATTTTTAATTTACAACAAATGCAAAGAAATTTTAAACCAAAATATTATTAGATATCAAATATATATTTAAATCTTTAATAGTAATTATTTATTTTTTTAAAAAAATACATAATATATAATAATGCACAATATAGTATATAATTTTTAAACAATAAAAATATATTATGAGCAACCTTGATCTTATATTTTGTAACTACCTATAAAATATTTTATTTTGTTTCTTTTTTACACTTCTGTTTTTAAGCACAAGACTCAACAATAACATTTTAAGCATGCCTGTCTGATGTGTCTAATGGTATTGATTTTTCAATATCTTGTTTGTAAATAATTTTTAATTGATCTTTTTTTATATCATAACATTCAAAAAGGTGTTGAAACTCTTATTAGTATTTTGAGATGTTTTTTTAAAAATTGATGCTAAGTAGAATCTTGTAAACTAAAAGCTTCTAATAGTTGATTCATTAAATTTCAAAATGCTTCTTTAAAAGATTTTACAGGCCTATCTGTTGGAATTAATAAATTTTCATCAATATATTTAATTAAAAGCAAGTTTAAATGAATTTTGCTCAGATTGTAATAAAATAATTCTGGATTTTAAATCTTCATATGATCTAATTGCAGATCCAATATATTGTTTTATGAACTTAACACCAAACCTTTCAAGAGTCTCATCAAAGACAAAATAATGGCCTAGAAATATTAAGTTTACAGAACAAACATGTTTAAGTATTTGTTGTAATAAAGTATTTCTCTCAATATATAATAAAAAATATGTAACAAATTAAGCATAATTATTATGTCTTATAACTAAAAAAAGAGAGATAAATAAAATAAGATTTTCAATTTGCATTTTATAATTTCTATAATAAATGTCAAACCTATGACCTTATCATAAAACTGCCTAGCAAAAAAATAAGTACCAAATCCTAACTATCTTATTGCTACTGTTTTGAATATATTTTATTTTTATAAAGTAATTTTTCATATATTGACAAAGAACATTATCTATCACAATCTACAATAACTCTAGAACACAGTATGTAGCCATATAGTCAACTATCTTTTTGAGTTTATCTAAATAAGCTACTTCTAAATTAGTTGCTAATTTAAAAATTTTATAATTAGAAAAAATATAAAGTAGTATGATATACATTATTTTTGATATATACTATTTACTTAGTAACAAAGATATTTTTGGCTGAGTTATATACAACTTTGCAAGTTATTAAAAGATAGCCTTATCAGATGCTAAATCAAGACTACTATTACTATCAAGTCCAACATCATTATAATACATTTTTGCTATATTATAAACATTTTTATTACAATACAGATTTTCTTCAGGTTCTAGAATAACAATATTTGGTGGTGCTATTTGGCATTCTATTTTAATATTCTTCTTAATTTCTTGCTATAAATAGAAATATTGAAACTTTTACTAGAATTTAAAAAATAACTAAAAATATTTTTAAATTTTTAAAGTTTATTTATTGTAAAATCTAATATCTTAACCCAAAACTCATACTTATCAAATAAATTATATTGTTTAGCAATACTAAATAATGATTGTGGTAGTTTAAACTGAAAAACCATTTGAAGTATAATATGTGTTGTGTGTCTTGTAACATCAAATATATTATCATATGCAAATGTATTTTCTTTTATATTAAGATTATCTATTATATATAAGTTCCAAATGTTTTCTCTTTGTAACAATCTTTTTGACATATCAATGTTATTAATTTTTTATTTTCTAACATTTTTTTATAGTAGTTTGTATAAGAAATCATATTTGTAGTGCATAAAATTGCATTAAGTAACCTTATAGCTTGGGTTTTTTGCAAAGAGAACTTATTATATATAAAAACTAAGTATTAATATTTGGAAACACTATTGAAAAAACTAATAACATTATAAATATTGAAATTTTTATAGCTCTTGAATTATCAAATTTTGCTAAAATTAATTTGTTATATATATTTTCTTTATACTACTTTAACTTTTTTTATAAAATAAAGATATCAAAATGATTAAATAATTTTTTATAAGCTTAGAAAATGCATTGTGAAACTTTTGTAAATTATTTGACATTTTAAACACCTTTCTCTGTATATACATTTCTAATCTTAACTTTTAAATGACTAATTCTGAAATTTCTTTTAGTTTTTCTGACTAATTAATTATAAGATTAATATATTGGGTTTTCTTTTTTAACCAATATAAAATTAAGTTTTTTTATATGAAGAGCAGCTCTAACTTCAAAATATGTTAGTGGGTTTATTTGTTTAGTTTAATTTATTTCTATATTATTATTTGATTTCTTATTAATATCTGTTTTTTTATTTAAAAATTTTAGAACACTAATCAGATTTCTTCTAAAAGCATAGCTTTTAGCTACTGATCTTTGTTTATTGCTATTTTTTAAATCTATTATTCAAGAAATTAAAAAGAAAATTAATTATCATTTATATGTTTTGTGATATAAAAGAATTGCATAATGCTTTTTTTTCTTTATTGAAAAAAATGTTTTTTTTCATTATTAAAACAATGAAAGCAAATGAACTTTGACTGTTTTTAACTTATAGATAACTTGACAAACTTATTATTCCTCTCAACAAATGCTGCACAAACTTTTAAGCTAGCACAAGGTATACAGATATTTCATCTGAATACTTTTCATAAATGCTATATACAACACTCTTCTCAACTAAAAAAAAATACATTGGTATTACAATATATACATTTTCATTTATAAATCTACTGTATACAATGGGCCAAACCACCTCACTATCAAATTATACAAATATTTTTATAGTGCATATCAGATCACAGAACAATTGCCTTTACTGATACATATACAAAAATAAACTATCATATGCATCATTTAAATATTTGTATGACTGATAATTATTTTATGACAGAAGAATAGTTTGGCCCATCATATATGGTAACTTTTATTGATCAAAACTTTATATTTTAACTCTGATAAATAAAATTTATTTTGATCAAAATAGAAGTAGTAAGAGCAAACTTTTAAGTTATTTAATGCATTATTTATTTTAATATTAATTGCTACATCTAATGTCTAAAAGTCTAATTCCTAAATATCTATAAGCTATTTAATTAGTTTATATGTATTTCTTAAGCAGCATTGAAAATGTCTTTCTTCATATTCAATAATAACACATTGTTCTTTTTTTTACTTAATTATTAATATCTAAATTACTAAATATTTCATAATTAATTGCATTAATATCATTTGTTACAAAGTTCATATAGACTTAACTTCTAATTATAAATTATCATTTGGTATTAACCAGTTATTATCATTTTGTCTTGCTTTAAATATTCAATAATTAATATTACAAATTTTTTGTATGATTTAGTGCTCTTTTATCAAATGCAAAGTCTCACTAGCACATTCATAATCAGTTGTCATACTTTCATCCATTGTAGTCTTTGAAGTAGATAAAATTTCAAATATATTTTTAAGATAATTTGTATTATCATCCAATATCTCATAGTCAATATTAGGTCATAATATTTAAGTCCTTTTCTATAGTTAAATAATTTATCATTTATAATTTATTATAAAATTTTTAAAAAATATAGTAATTAAATTCAAATTTCTTGAAAAAAAATAATATAATATAATATTAGTTATTAGGACAGTGTATTTGACAAAAGCCAGAATATTATCATTATTAGGAACAGTGTATCTGATAAAAACCAAAATTATTATTACAAATATTGTTTATATATATTTTTAAATATTTATAACATAACAAATATGAATTTATTTAACAAAACAAACATACATATATGTAGGAATTATTTTTTTTAATTTTATATATACATTATTACTATTTTTCTTCTTTGACTTTATATACATATTGTTACTATTTTTTTTCTTTAACTTTATATATGCATTGTTGCTATTTTTTTTATTTGATTTTATATATGCATTGTTATTTAACTTTGCATATGTGTTGTTATTATTTTTCTTTTTTGTTTTTATATATACATTATTATTTTTCTTATTTGACTTTATATACACATTGTTACTATTTTTTTTTTTGATTATATATATATATTATTACTATTTTATTGTTCATTACCAATATTTTATTATCTATTGTTAACAATTTATTATTTATTGTTCATTGTTACCATTTAATAACAAACTTAATTTATTTTATATGAATTCACATAAATGATATATTATTGTTGTATATCATAGAATTAATGTTGTATGAATACAAAGTCTTATTCAAACAAATTAAGTTTTTGTATTAAACACCAATATTTACATCTTGTCTTTTCATTTAGTAATGATTTCAACCTCACAATAACAAAACTACTACTGTATTACAAGTTAGACTTAGTATTTATTCAAGAAATAAAGGTTTAATTTGTAAAATTGAACCCATATTGCTAAACAAATATTTATATAAAAAAATCAAAACTTTAAAATTAAAATAACTAATATATTATAATTACTTTTTAAGTAAAGCAAACAATATGTTGTTATTTTAACCAACAACACATTTTTGTTTAAGAAATACTTTTTTTTATTATTTAATTCTATCTCTTTGAATGAAAATAACTTAAAGATTTGAATTTTCATAAACTCATATTTTTGCAATATGTTTGATTGAACAGTCTTAACTAAACTCATAAAGAAAAATATTCAGAAAATTTTATTTTTGTTTCATTACACTGATTTTTGAATTTATCTAATACAGTTCATAATGTTAACCTAATATCTTGACAGTTTGAATTAATAACTAAAAATAAAGCAATGCCAGAAACATTGATTTCATCTATTTTCTTAATTCTGTTTTATAATTTTTTTTTAAAAAATATATATATCTAAATTTGTATAACCTGCTAGACATTTGAAGAACCTTTAATATTAAATGTTTTTTTTATAAACTTTATTTAAAAATTGGTTCTTTTTTACAGTAAATCTTATTAAAAGTCAATAGGTTATTTAAACTTTTAATTTGCACACTTTACTCATGTTAGATAAAAAAAAAAAGTTAATTTATAAAATCATAGAAAAAATAAAGAATAACCAAATACGATCAAATCGTTTTTTATATATTCAACCTTAACTTTGTAATTACAATAGCTTTTCAAATCTTTTTTTATATATTCAACTTTAACTTTGTAATTACAATAGCTTTTCATCGTTATCTAAGGCATTGTCAGACGGTGATTGAAATCAGTGGCTTAACCTGTCAGATTACGGACGTGCCTCAATTTATTGTCATATCCAACCAATACCGACACAGAATGATAGTTATATGCATCACGTGATACATGCCGTCAATTAACTTTAAATCAAGGTCCTTCTAAATCTAAATTAAATACGCAAATAAAACCTGCGATTATGTACAGTAGGGTTCCTTGGCTTTCTTTTAAAATAATTTTGTCTTCAGGTCTATTTTATTCAAAAGGCAAACCAATCGATAAATTTCTTCAATAAGCTTTTTTTAATATAAAAATCGCAGAAAATGATGTGCAAATTTATTATGAACATATGAAATTTTGGGACATATCCGCTGATCGTTATTATATGATTTCACGTAATCGATTTAACATCAAAAATATTTACTTTTTTTTGCATCGTTTTATCTATACGTAACATAAAATCTTATTAAGATGCCAACACTTCTTTCTTAAGTAAAAGGATTAGTTAGCTAAAAAAAACAAATTTGTCATTTTCATCTCTTTTCGCAACACCTAGTCCATTTGAACTCAGTAGAAATATTTTAAACTGTTTCACAAAGATATAATTCTTTAATAAACATTAATATATATATTTATAGTTGGATATCATTTCATTAATAGGTCTCCACAAGATACGACAAAATCCTTCTAGTTTATTAGAACCTGATTTGATTATCTTAATTGGTTCATCGAATACTCCCGAAGTTGAATATCCAAATGACCCTTTGCTATCGTACTCATATATGACCTTAATCCATCATTTATTATTTCACGTATGGTTGTCTGTACCGTTTTTCTAAGATTCGTTGACCAATATACATATCTTCCATCTCAAGGATCTTATTTAACTTTTCTAACTCGTTAGCACCAAGAACCCTTACTTGATTTCCAACATCTCTTACCAGACCGATTAACAAAATAAATTTAAGTTCTAAACAAACAACATTTCCCTCAGTTCCTCCCAGAACAAAAATATCAAGAAAACCAAAATGGCCCGATCCTTTTCGTTTTTTGCCATCTATTACAAGACAAAGCTCCGGCACTTTATGCCTTGATGGGAGAAGAATCTCGACAATAGCTTGAAGCACTGCTTCATTTGCTGAAGAAATAACATCCGTGATCTTGTTAATAAGGTGGTCTTGAGAAGTTTGGTAAAAGGGATGATATTACCTACAACGAAACTATTATATGCTGTACTACTAAGAACATCATCGGCAACCTATATATATTCAAAGGTTTTTTTTTTTTTTTTTTTTTTATAACGCGAAATGGCGTCTATTTAAAGGTTTAATAAAGGCATGAATCCTCAGTGGCACAGGGATATTTGATGAATTATGGGATGTAAGATTTTTGGCAGTTTGCTTCTCAGGCTAAGCTATATGAATGTTCTAGAAATAATAATAAATGATTAATTATATGACAACACACACATAATAATATTTGCAAAAAATAATATTTCAGGAAAATGGTACAGCACAAATAAATAGACTGCTACGCCATT